TCAAACACACACAATCAAGGTGCAAATCACACTTATCAATATCTATATAATTATAATGAAATAACATCAATTTTATGTTTTTAATAGTATAGCACCCCACGTTTTAGAGGTCTAGTTGCGCCTATATGCTAATACTCGGTACTTGTTTTAAACAAATTATTTGATGTACATGTATTATTTACAAATGTATAATACACATATTATATGTATTATAAATCTATATAAATAATATAAATTAGCGTGACTAAGTTAAATATTGATGCAATACTATAATAAACCATAATTTTAACCAACTATTTGTTATTGTTATATTCTCACATGTGTACCTATTATACTTATACATTTATAAAAAAAAGAAAGGCATAATAAGAACTCTTATTTTTGCTGTATAAAAATTATTTTTACTTCGTCGGTATAATCGGTCGTGCCGTATAGCATGACCACCAAATTTTGAATGGTYCACCCAAGGGATTTACCCCACATAACTCGACAATTCAAATACGGCAATTCGATACGGTCCTGTCCAGGAGTTTGGGCGTTTTGTGGAGGGTAGTTTAACTGATGTGAGATGTGCACCCTAGGGAGGAATATGTACCTTTTTAAACATTTTTTGGGCTCATGATCATCTATTCATGGTTTTGGATGCTGAGATTTGTACCGATTGTGTAGAGTATAATACAAGCGTTTTGTATTTGTATTTTAAAATAGACACGACGCCACWAGTAATGTAGATTTAAATTTCTTGTGATATGTGATTATATCCAATAATAGCTTATAAAACAGCTTAAAATAGTTTTTCGCGCGCTATTCCAAGACTAAAAACCGATTACATTTATCTGAATTATCACTGCACTTATTTTTCTGTATCATTAATATACTTATTTAGGTATATACAACATACAAAAGAAATGAAAAATGTTATTTTTATCGTGCGTATGGACACTATATAAGTTACCAGGTACTATAGCTCTCAAGTCCATTAACTTATCTATAAACATAAAATATGTGTCTTAAATTACGTCAAAGTTGACTCAACGGCAGCTGCTCCAAAAGTAAATATTTACCAAAATCATAAACAGTCAACTGACAAAGGGGAAACATTACGTCAGAGTTTAATTATTTTCGTTGCATCACTTATAATAATAGACTTATTTTAGTTATTTACTTATATAATATCTACAAGTATAATATATTTATTATGTAGGTACCTATATACAGAATTGTACAGTTAAATTATTTTATCATTCACTAAAACGTATTTTCACCTATTTTACTCATTATATTCTATAGGTACATTGTATCTATATTGTGTAATGTATACTAAATTTATTATCTATAATACAATGAAAATTATAAATAGCAACAGACCTATTATAACCGAGCTGATATCAATCGACTAAATTAATTTTTTTTAAGTAAAGTTCAAGTTTTTTGGATTAATGTAAATAGTAAATGGTTGTCATTTTTAGGTACTGTAATGCTTTACAATAAATACCTTCCTATATAAATTTCAATAGTAAAATAAAAATAAAAATTTCCTGTGTCCACAATAACAGATATTATATTGTGCAATCCTGCATTAAGAATAGGATGTCAAACGTATTTTCCACGACTTTTTTTCTCGTGAAGACCTCTGACGAGTAGGAGGACGTGGGAATAAAGAAACCGTCAATAACGTGTCATATAATATAAACTGTATATATAATATATAATATAACAATTTCGATATACCTTTATTATAATACACGTACCTATAAATATAGATGGCGAAGCCATTAGAAGAATAAAAACCGCGATTACAATGATAATATAGCATAATAATAATATAAAATATATATGCGTCTCTTGGCACACGTTATTATATACTATATACCAGGTGACTTGACAGCGCTCGTTCTGGTATAATAACACACAGACAGTATATGCACATATATAGGTACACCCGTTAGCCCAGCGTGCGTGTACGAAGATATCTGTATTTTTAAACGTCTATTAGGCCACGAACGACCTGACATCCGAGACGCGTCTCACGCAAGCCCTCCCACCGCGGGACGTCCTGAGAGAGTCTTGTTTTTAGGCAAACACACACACTTACCGGTCTCCTCCTCTCACACATCRTAATATTATACAAGGAGAAAAGAAGAAAAGGTCACCTCTGTGACGATACTCGCAAAACTCTTTAATACGTCCTGTTATTTTGACATGTCGTCCCAGAGGCTTAAACGATATTATATTATCCGTATATATTACGAGTGGGTGTGATCGACATTCTTTTGGTGTTCTCGTTCTATAGAATAATATCGGTTAGGTTAGGTCTATACATTTATAATTTTTTTCATTATTATTATTAATAATAGTGCAATGGTGATATTGAACCGTAAAACCAAAAAAAATTTCAATTTATTATATATTATATAATAATTTTGTTTTTTTTTAGTTAAATTTAAAATATTATGCATTTATATTATTATATACTCGTATACTTAACGAAATACCCAGATAGGTCAAGGGCGAATAGTTTAAATTGTTAGTTGCTTTCACTGTTTCCTCTAAATAATGAAAAAAAAAAACTTAATCGTCTCATTGATTGTTTTGCTCCGTACAAAGTACCTAGTACCTATATATATATATATAGATTATATACTATTATATATATTATGGGTTTGCATACTATGAGTGCTCTTTTATTTTATAGATGTGTTATTAAAATTGATCGACGTTATATAATCCAATATGAATAATATCAAACTATTAAATTTTCTGCCACAGTCACAGGCCTCGTGACCGTTCGATGTTATATCTATGACCGTTTTCCGTTGTACGTTTTATTATTCCGATTTCATCAAAAAAAAAAATCAATATATTATTTATTCATATTATAGTAATTAAAAATAGCCAACGTATGATTGGTCACGTTTTGTTGAATTACTACATATACCTAGGTAATAAAAAACAAYTTCTATATGACATTTGTTTTTATTGTATATAGAATAACGGCTAATAATGGTTCGCCCTGAGCTGAGGCGCACGTTGTGATTTTTACGAGAAAATAAATCTAAGAATTAAGATATATGGACGTATGTAATATTGCAATAATAATATGTTGTAATTATATTATTTATAAACATTCGTAAAACCACTGTCCTGCTGAGTTTTTGTAACATTTTTTCGGGGGCCTAATCACACACGCACGCCCGATCACCAGCATCTGTGATTATTATTGCTATATACACCAGGTTGGGGTGAAGTGGTTTGTTCACCGTCCAAAGGCTGATAGTAATATTGTGGCGAGGGGGTGAAGTAGCGATCGGGCGCGCGTGTGAGTCGTGCAAGGGAGAAGTATACACCCTGGATAGTGCGTGCGGGGATAGTCCATGGGCGTTATGTGACGATACAGAGTAAGAGGGAAAGCATATAATATGGATAGATGGTGGGGGGAGTGTTTTGTGTGTAGGACGTGGAGTTATGGTCATCGATCAAGCGTGCTGTCAACCTGAAACACCCAGCACAGAACCTGCAGGGTATCCCTTTGGCGTTCGTATATACGGCGCGCACACACTCGGGATATTATTCCGTTTTCCTCTCGCGGATATATAACCGCAGTCCGGGAGCCAACCAATTAAAACAAAAATTAAATAATTGTTTCGGGTCATTGCTGAAGGAGATTGATGGTGTGTTTGGAATAAACACTTCTTCGCCCCGGTGTATATGAGCCCTGTACGAGCTGAGAGGACGGGCACGCGGTCGTTATCCGAWTGGACATTTTCCGGACAAGACGTTTTGACGCACCACATATAAACCTATACACCTACCTGCATAAGTATAGGATTCAAAATAAAGTACATATTATTTCAGAAATATGTACATTTTGTACTTCAGTGTGATCAAACACATACACATATGAATACTACTCGTACGAAAAACGAAATATACGTTATCATTCTTTAATTTTTATAATTATATTTTTACTACCATGGTTGTAGAATTTATTTAAGATACAATATTCTAATTAAGTTATACCAAACTTTATAAAATAATTATTAATAAATAAATATTAAAAGAAAACTTATGAGTTTTTAAACTTAGGAAATTCACTGAGTTTTATATTTTATACTGTTCAATATACAAATATTGTACAGTAATAATAAACCATTATTTTTTTTTTTTTCATAATTTTTACTTCTTCCTACCTTATATACAAGTATTAATTTTCCAATATTAAGCGCTATGAAATGTATTTAATAAATTATAATGCTAATATTGTATTATGTTCTAAGTTACTTAATATTTATTTTTTACCGTTCAAATTTAAAAGTGTCCAGTGTCTTATGGTTAAGTAAAATACATTAAATATTCCTGTTAAAATTTTCAAAGATAAAAAGTGTTTTTATCTTTTGTCCCTTTCTATGAATAATCAATAAGGAAGTAACTTTTCTCAATTTTTTCTTTAAATGTGTAACAGCAAAAATAAAAAAACGGTGTTTTCAACAACTTCTAAATAGATAAACTAAGTTTTTAAATATATTTTTATTTTGACGCACATTTTAAGTTAATATATTAAAAGCTGAGACAAGATATTAAAATACAATTTATTATACTACGTGCTAGTGTGTTACTCATTTAAAATTGTTCCTTAAAATTACTACTAAAATAAACACATGGGTACTATAATACATTATTTAACTATATATAATGAATGTAATAATATAATAAATAAATATATTCAATATTTGTTAATTTATTTAATATATTCATGCTATAGTATTTATAACCATCAAGTTATTAGTTATTACATGATATAGTAGTAACAATTTTAATCAAGCAAGTATAAGCAAAAAGTGATTAGGTTGTTGAAATAATTATCGATTTTAATGAAGCAACAATAATCGATACAATTGTGATGTATAAAAAATGTTATCAGCAGTTTGTGTTAGTGGGTATAGTGTTCAAATGCCAGTAGTTATAGTACATACAGTTAGTCTGACTATAGACTCTCGATGACGTGCCAATGAAACATGGATGGTAAATAAATAGATCTAAATTCGAAATGATGAACGACATTGCATTAGATACGTGGACCAAGAATGGAGAAACAACGTAAATATACATTTYAATATAACATGTTTTCGTAATATAACACTGCATAAATTTAGTACCTAATTAATATAAAATTCACCATTCAATATCGTAGTATCCTTTTGAAAAACAAACTTCAATTATGTCCAAAATCAGTAAAATATAAATATAAATTACCAATGCATACCTATAAAGCTATAATGTATTATTAGTTGTCAATGTATATTGAGTTAAATGCTTAAATGTAGTTATTAAGCATCCACATAATATATATATATATATATTAATTAATTTTTAATTTTATTTCTAGAGGTCTACTTCTTCGTAGAAACGTTAAAGACACAAAACCGCTTCATAACTATAAAAGTCAATTTTTGGTTATTTTCGTAATATTTTCGGTTCTGATTATCACATTCATGGTATCAGTTATCAATTTTTGGTCAGACGATGACCAGTATATCCAGGTAAAATAAAATATGATGATCACGTCATATACAGTCATATAGCCATATGTATATAATTGTATCAGGTTAGACTATAATTTAAAATTTTATATATTATTTACGTTTATACTCCTTGCTTATCAATAAATCTGTTCCCCCAGTAGCGAGTTCATAGAATGAAGCCATGAGTCAACGACTCTTTATAAAAACAGAGACATTTGAGTAGTTAGTGTAACAAATTGGGAATTGCAATAATATAATAAAATATCCAACCATTTTTAATTTATTATTATCCTTATTTGAATGCAAAACAATTTTAATTATTTTTACTTTTTGTTAATATGATTCTACAGCTTATYTTAAATATATTCTAACGAGATCTAAAATATTTAAATATGTTCTTTCAATTTCATATGCCCTTTTTACATGACTTTATAAATAGAAATAATAGAAATACCTCATCGTAGGCGCAAACCAATTACAATTTTATTGTGGGAGGCTAATATTTTTAACATCTATGAGAATSATGGCTTCAATTCCATACAATTAAAAAACTGAATATTTTTTAARGGAATTATATACTGGAGTATCCCYTTATCYTCCTTAAGATTTATTGCTATATGTGAAATAATTTAAATTTGTCAAAACCATAACTATGCTTCTTWGGTATCTATTATTCTCGTATTTAAATTTAATGATTACGTAAATCATATTGTTAGATTAATATTTATCTAGACCAGTGTTGTTGTCAACTATTATTAGCCGTTAGGTAGGCAATTTAATTTATTATACCTATTACATGCACGGTTGTMAGTGATAAACTGATAATACATTGACGTTAACCGTTAAACAAATTTTTATCAATTATCAGGATGCATCCGAGTTGGGTCTGAAGTTTAAATTTGCTTCACTATTTGGGTCCCAAATTTTTTTAGATACTACACTAGTTGGATCATCCTGAATTATTTTAGCTACAACATTAGTTCTTGAATATTTTTTGGTAAGTACTACACTATACTAACATATTATAAAAATATTATTTAATTTGTATTTATATCATATAATTATTTTAACATTTTTAATATTTTTTCACTTACACCTACATGGCATTATGGCTATATTTATATTATATAATATGTGTTTTTATACTTGGTTTTTAACATTTTTTATATTTTTACCAACACAAAAGTGATTTATTTTTTATAAAATTCTAATAACTTATATTTTAATGGAAAAGAAACAAAAAAAAAAAACACTGTAAAAAACATTTTTAACCATAACTGTGGTCAAAATAGATTATAGACAGTCCTACGTCTGTTGAAATTGGAAGGAAAATGTTGGTATAGTGTAGTACTTACCAAAAAAATGTTCAAGAACTAATATTGTAGCTAAAATAATTCAGGACCCAACTATAGTGTAGTAACTATAAAAATCAGGGACCGAACTAGTGTAATACCTATAAAAATCCGGGACCGAACTAGTGTAGTACCTATAAAAATCCGGGACCCAGCTAGTATAGTACCTACAAAAATCCGGGACCCACTTAGTGTAGTACCTGCGATTAGCCCCTAGTACTCGGGGCCCAACTCGGATGCGCCGAATTATCATTGTAACCTATAAAATATGTTTAAATTAATCATGGATCAAATATTGAAAGATATGCAAACTTATCATACGAGCATTAATTGAAAAATTATTTTAGATTAAATACACAAATAAATATATAACATAACATAACAAACGACTCCTTACGGAAATAAGAGATCGCCCTTCACTCTTATACATAAAAGACTGCACTAAGTTATATGAACTAACATGGCCTATCTATTCTTATATTACCTATGATAGAGTGGGCTATATAAATTAATTAATTTTAATTTGATAAAATAAATGCATAATGAGGTATTATAAAGAACAACAATTTTTATACTTATGGTTATATATATAAAATTATAACTATGTTTTCAGTTTTTCACTTTCTATTAATATATTTTGTAGGTCACATACGAATTACAATTCAAATTTAAAATGTATTATCATTATAATTTTTTTTTTAATTCATACTTTATAGAATATAGACTATAGAGTCGCTAGACCATACGWATATTTCTATTAAAAATTCAGTTTGTTGGACTTTGTTAACTAATAAATTAGTTAGATCAAATGAAAATCTATAGTTCAGCACATTTATTCTATAAAATAATAATTGTTCGTTCAAAAAGGATTAAAAAATTTGCAGAATAAATTCATTAATACTTTAATGAGTATACTTTATAATTTTAACTATTCAAAATACATAATTTTTTCAATAATTTAAAATACTATTATGCTTTATGATAATGTGCCTACACCTATATTGTTTCAAAATAGTCACTGGACACAATTATCAAAAGTAAAGATCACTTCACTATGAAAAACAACKATTATTTCGACCTATGTGCGCCGATTGTTTCGTGTGATTATAATGACAAATACAGAACTAGCAATGGAACGTGTAACAATCCAAACAATCCAATTTGGGGTTCATCAAACACCCCATTCATCAGACTTGTCGACGCACACTACAGCGATGGTAATTAATAATTATTGTTTAAACAACTGTTCGTATCTATGAGGTATTTTATCGATGACATATACTCATACAACATATAGATCTGTGCGGTTACAGATGATTTTTATTATTGAAGGTTTCGAAATCATTAATTACTATTATCTATTTATTTATTGTTTAATATTTTTAATTTTAAAATAAGACGAGCATGTAATAATTTATGATATTAATTTTATAAATTATAAATTATAATTATTCTTAATATTGTAATAATACGCCAGTACACGCGAATACGCACGTAGATTATTAAGTTATAAACTGTAAATATTTGAGGCTGGTGCATTGCTTGTAGACTCTACATTATGTTCTTCTATAGTTATATCTATCAGACTACAAGTTGTATGTGAGCGTGCAGGAAATTAGGCTTAAAACACTTTCTTAACGTCTAATAATTAAAAAATTGTCCAAATCGGTAGGTGTATTAACATTTTAAAAACACACTGCATACATCACAATACT